CCCCAAAACCCCAAAACCCCAAAACCCCAAAACCCCGATTCAAGACTAAGTAGTTGAAAATTAGATATTTTCAGAGGAGTTGGGTTGTTATGGAGATGGCTGAGATGTCTGAGTTGGCTCTTGTGGTGTAGAGTCTGAGTCAGTTTGCTGAACTTCTGGCTCAGCAATTACCTCTGGTTCTTTCTTGACCTTCTTTTTAGCTTTTCTCTTTGGTCTTTCAATAACAACAGCTGAGTTATCACCTAAAGTTGAGCATTTAGCCGAGGGTTTAAGAATATTTAGAATATCATACCTGATCATTCAACATCTATTATTTTTTCTCCTCTTGAGAATCTTGGCCTCAAAAATGGTCTTGGAACTACCCTCCTATTTTTATTTCCAATTTGACCAACTTCATTATCTCCCCAAACTAAAAGGCCTCCCTCCTCAAGAGCAATTATGCTATGTCTCCTTCCACAAGAGAGGAATTCAAATTTTACTGGCTCAATAGGTTCATCTTCGAAATACATTGGCTCCATATCATGATAATGCGTAGTTGTGTTGATCCCTAGTTGCCCTCTCAAATTATTGCCAGTAGCCCAGAAGAATTGATCACCACTACTATTCTCAGAAAGAATGATTGAGAAATCAGATCCACCATCCATCTGAGTAACTTTTTGCATGGAGATTTCCTTATGAATCACAGTTGGCTCATACAATACCAATTTTTGGCTGCTGGCTGATGCCAAATCTTCTCCATGACTTATTTGAACTTGATGGTTATATCCCCATGCAAAAAGTCTCCCTGTGGTAGTTGCTGCAAGACAATGCCTATGTCCGCATGCAATCTTTGAAATCTGCTCATGGCAGTTCACTCTTTGGGGCTTAGAAATTTTTATATCCTTAAAAGGAGGGACGAGAGGTCTATTGTTAACAAATTGACCGCATTGCCCATAAGTGTCATCTCCCATTGCCCACATGACTCCATCTTCATCCAGAGACAAAAAGTGATTTTCGCCTGTCTTAATAGATACTATAGTCCCGAGCTCTTTAATATGGTAAGGAGTACTATCAATTGCCACCTTCTCACTCTCTCCATCTTGAAGAAATAGTTCATCAGCCATTTCTGATAAGTTTCCTGACGAGACTTTAGGAGCTTCCTTATAAATAATCCAAAGGTAGACTTTGCCACTAGCAGTGAGACCAAACATTCGATTTGAAGTGAATTGAATGTCGACAAGTTGCTCGCCCTCGACTTCAAAGGTTTGGAACTCTCCTCTATCACCATCATTAACACCTTGGATCTTCTTAGATGGAAGTTCATGCTTCCGGCAGATGTGAACTTTCCCCTCAGCATCAAGATAAGCTTCATGATAACTCCCAAATTTTACGGAAACGATGACTGGAGAATCATCTTTCGAAAAAGCACGGATTTTCTTAGGGTAATAATTGGTATAATCCATCTCATTGTTGAGCACAACCCCATTTCCCCACACATAAACGTCAGTCTTAAGATCTGGAGCATAGAGCTTCTTGCCTAAATCTTCCTCTGAAAAGGCTCTTGCTGTAAAAGTAAGAAAATTATGTCTAAAATTCTTCCAGAGAGGCTTACTGTCCTCTAACTTCTGCTCTGATCTCCTCGAGTACCAATAGTTCAACCCTGTTGCACAAGAGATGGCTGCTGGGGTGAAAAATCTGGTTCCAAAAGTTCTTGAAAACATCTTAATTTTTATAAATTTATCTTGAAACACACATCCAAAAGTGGGGTTTTGGGGTTTTGGGGTTTTGGGGTTTTGGGG